TGCAAACTCTTGGAGGTCTCGACAGTCCAAGAGTTCCGCGAAGCCATAGACACCCAAAGCGTTCTCGGGATGTAATTGGGATTCAATGAATTGGCTGCAAATGGCGACCACATGTCCGCAGTCCAACATCTTGGCCGCACTCATCAGCTGCTGGACATTGTCTGCACTCGTGTCCACACATCCCGTGTAACACCATTTGATGATCTCGTTGAGCGCCGGGCCGTCGATGTTCTTGATGTGGATCTCGTAGAGTCCGGACTCCACGTACTGACCACCGACTGTGGATCCGATGAACATGGCGTTGAAGTACTGCAGAGTCGACGCCAACACCACTCTATGGGCGCTGATGTGGTGGTTGTCATCCGTGGCCAGACTCACGTCACACAAGTGCGGTCTCATGGCATACATGGCCGACAGACACCAGTCGGCCCTCCATTCGCAGGTAGACATCACTCCAGAGTCTTATCGATTATCTCACGACTAATCTCTTAATCTAATCATTCACTCACTGAAGCAGACATACTACACAATGGCCACCAAATTGTCATTATTTATGCACTCTTTGTATGCCTTTCCTATTATTCACTCAATTATGCGATCCTTTAGTCATTCATTACATGAAAATACTTTGAGTTTTTGCATTAATTTTATATTAAATTAAATTTAATTATAATTTTGTTTTTTAACAAATGACTCATTTGTTTACAAATATATACGTATTATTTTATATATCATTCACATATGATATCATATATATTGGGGGCAATTAGGGGGCTGTTGATAGGACAACCACTAATTCACCATTCAATTAGCCATAAGTCTGGCAAAGGGGACAAAATTGTGCCACTTTTTACAGTACGTACGTCGCGATAGACCCCAAACAGACATTACGTCACCACGTATTGAGTGAAACATATGATTGTTATGCAAATAAATAGCTAAACAATAAAACACTTGTTTTGTTGTCAATTAAAGCCTTTTAAATGCCATTAAACTCAATAACTTAACCGCTATTTAATACCCAATTGAATGGCAATTGTAATAAAGTCCACGTTTATAGTGAACTGTCAAACACACGTTGTGTACACCATATGACTGTGCATTGGATTTGGGTTTTTGTGCAATAAAAAGGGCATTAAATGGGTTTAAATGAGGTAATGATGGTTCACTACAATGGGTTACACACTATAACAAGTGGTGATAAATATAACACAAAATGAATGGCATTTATAACCAATCGTAACGTGATTTACAGAAAAGCAATTGAAATGTCAATCAATGATTGAAAGAGTTTTTGAATGAAACAAATGGTGTATAAGTGGTTGGACTCACCCCTCGCCCTCTTTGCTGATGTATCTGTTGACGAGTTTCATATTTACAGTGAAAATAAATAATTAAATATCATTTAAGTCCTAATCCCACGAAATAATAGATGAGATGTTGAGTGCATATCGTGTGACATGTCTTTCGGCGTCCAATTCATTGAACGCTATATTTGGGGACCGATTAGTCATTGAGACAAATGTGACATCAATTTTGCGCCAATTTTTTCGCTCAAAATGTTTGCACTTTTAATCGCATTATTAACTCAAACTTCACTAAAACCGTGACTTTATCGGTGAATATACTTGCCGTCAATTTGATAAAAGTTTGCAAATTGTTTGCAAGTGTTGACACATGAAAACTGCAGGGCGAGTGGTGTGCAAGGTCAGTTTGGGGGCTATAACATAGGGGTCGTACGGTTTGGGGGGTGTGTTGTGATTGCATAAGACATATGCAATGAATGCGTTATGCGTTGGAAAACGTTAACACAAACTGTTTGTCACAAATTGACCACATTTTCAGACAATCGTGTCATTCGTTTGCATTCACTGGTGATCACCAGGTCTTCACATAATCCACAAATGGGTGTCAAGTTTGGCAACAAATGCGATGAAAGACATCACCAAACGGTGTCCATCGCCAGCCCTATCGGGCCAATGGTTGTCACCGTTTGCAGCAATGGTTTGCATCGCTTGT